ACCTACTTTCACTAATTATAGAATACCTTGACAAAACCACACTAACCTACTTTAATTGATTATAGAATAACTTAACAAAAACCTCCTTACCTACTTTCACTAATTATAGAATACCTTGACAAAACCACACTAACCTACTTTAATTGATTATAGAATAACTTAACAAAAACCTCCTTATCTACTTTCACTAATTATAGAATACCTTGACAACAACACCTAACCTACTTTCCCTGATCATAGAATACCTTGACAAAAACCTTCTTATCTACTTTCAATAATTATAGAATAACTCGACAAAACCACACTAGCCTATTTTCATTAATCATAGAATAACTTAACAAAAACCACCCTTGTCTCTTTTACCAATTATAGAAAACCTTGACAAAACCACCCTCACTTTCTTTTACAAAGTACTTTTATCTACAAAACAAAATGGTTTATCTACAGCAACAAAATGTTTTAATTTACCTACAGCAACAAAATGATTTATTTATCTACAGCAACAAAATGGTTTAATTTATCTACAGCAACAAAATGGTTTAATTTATCTACAGCAACAAAATGGTTTAATTTATCTACAAAACAAAATGGTTTAATTTATCTACAGCAACAAAATGGTTTAATTTATCTACAGCAATAAAATGATTTATTTTATCTACAGCAATAAAATGATTTATTTTATCTACAGCAATAAAATGATTTATTTTATCTACAGCAATAAAATGATTTATTTTATCTACAGCAACAAAATGGTTTAATTTATCTACAGCAACAAAATGGTTTAATTTATCTACAGCAACAAAATGGTTTAATTTATCTACAGCAATGAAATGATTTATTTTATCTACAAAACAAAATTATTTATTTTATCTACAGCAACAAAATTATTTATTTTATCTACAGCAACAAAATGGTTTAATTTATCTACAGCAACAAAATGGTTTATTTTATCTACAGGAACAAAATGGTTTAATTTATCTACAGCAATGAAATGATTTAATTTATCTACAAAACAAAATTATTTATTTTATCTACAGGAACAAAATAGTTTATTTTATCTACAACAATAAAATGGTTTATTTTATCTACAGGAACAAAATTATTTATTTTATCTAGAGCAATAAAATGATTTATTTTATCTAGAGCAATGAAATGATTTAATTTATCTACAAAACAAAATGGTTTAATTTATCTACAGCAACAAAATGGTTTAATTTATCTACGAAACAAAATGATTTATTTTATCTGCAAAACAAAATGGTTTTATTTATCTACAGCAACAAAATGGTTTAATTTATCTACAGCAACAAAATGGTTTAATTTATCTACAGCAACAAAATGGTTTAATTTATCTACAGCAACAAAATGATTTATTTTATCTACAACAATAAAATAGTTTAATTTATCTACAGGAACAAAATGATTTATTTTATCTACAACAATAAAATGGTTTATCTTATCTAGAGCAATAAAATGATTTAATTTATCTAGAGCAACAAAATGATTTATTTTATCTACAAAACAAAAAGGTTTAATTTATCTACAGGAACAAAATGATTTATTTTATCTGCAACAATAAAATGGTTTATCTTATCTAGAGCAATAAAATGATTTAATTTATCTACAAAACAAAATGGTTTAATATATCTACAGGAACGAAATGGTTTAATTTATCTACAGGAACAAAATGATTTATTTTATCTGCAACAATAAAATGGTTTATCTTATCTAGAGCAATGAAATGGTTTAATTTATCTACAACAGTAAAATGGTTTATTTTATCTACAAGACAATAAAATTGCTTCTTTTTTTCTCCAACCATAACATGTGTTGCTAAGTTTATCCATATAATGTGTTGAGCTAGTCCTGCCCCTGTTTCTCGATATTTTTCAAGTAATATAATCACTTTTATTAGTATATTTCATTATATAAAACGAATCTACAAGTCTAAAAAGTACAGATTTGAAAAACATTCAGTACAATGAAAGAAACAAAGCAACACGGAAGTCACACCAATAACAATACACCTCTGACCCACTAACTATATCCTTCCGGTGTCTCTAAAGCACCATGGACTGCTAGAAACTTGAATAAAACAAATATTAAATGATAATATGAAATGTCAGGTTTATTAAGTACTGTACTTACAAAGAATGTTGCAGTAGTACCACTTCCAAAATGGCAACCTTTAGAATTTTACTGTTATTATTATTATTGTTATTTTCAAGTACGTTAACTTTTGAATTTTCATACACTATTATAAACATTTTGTGTTGTCAAAAATTGAAGAAAACATCAAAACTAAATATTTCTATATTGTTAAACTACATCATTCTTGGCAACTTTCATGAAAAAATTCAAGCGATTTGAACCATTAGTTTGATATTTATAAGAACATTTTCACGAGAGTGACGTACCTACTTAAAATGTTAGTAGCCCGTCCCGAAAGAGCACGCGCCACACGCAATGCCATCTGTGGCAGCCCATTGAAGTAGTCTGACGGTCGCGGGAATTTCAAGTGCGCTCTCGTAATTTATTTAGTCCGGATTGAAGGAAGTGCCAGAAAATCGGTGGTGTACTGTATAAATATAGCTTTAATACTACAGAAAGGCGAGAGTCGTACACTAATTTTGTTTGAATTTAGACGTAAAACAAAACTCAGGATGTTTCTTTTTGTTACTGTTTAGGGTAGTATCTCGTTAATATATACATCGTAGATAAATGTGAGATGACACCCTGTTTTAAAACACCCTAACCTTTGTCCGAGTTTCATTCTTCCAGGCGTGAGAGACTGGTCAAGAAAAGTAGCAGGTTTTTTAACACCCTCCAGTGACATAGGTCTGGGTCGCTCGTCCTTTGCCATCAAAGCCTGAATTTATAAAAAAAATCAGCATTAACATAAGTCGAAGCAAAGTACAGTTGTTTAAGTGGAGATATGACGCCACCTATTGACAATCTTTAGAACAAATTATTATAAGACAGCTACAATGTTCGACAAAAAGATAGAAGTGTAGCTATTACTCAAACCACTTGTACTAAAACTAAGATATCTTTTGGTTAATATACACCATGATACTCTATCACATACCTCACGGTTAACATCTATCTTAGCTAATCTATAACATACCTTACGGTTAACACCTATCTTACCTAATCTATAACATACCTCATGGTTAACATCTATCGGACCTAATCTATAACATACCTTACGGTTAACATCCATCTTACCTAATCTATAACATACCTCATGGTTAACATCTATCGTAGCTAATCTATCACATACCTCACGGTTAACATCTATCTTACCTAATCTATCACATACCTCATGGTTAACATCTATCGGACCTAATCTATAACATACCTTACGGTTAACATCCATCTTACCTAATCTATAACATACCTTACGGTTAACATCTATCTTAGCTAATCTATCACATACCTCATGGTTAACATCTATCGGACCTAATCTATAACATACCTTACGGTTAACATCCATCTTACCTAATCTATAACATACCTCATGGTTAACATCTATCGTACCTAATCTATCACATACCTCACGGTTAACATCTATCGTACCTAATCTATAACATACCTTACGGTTAACATCCATCTTACCTAATCTATAACATACCTCATGGTTAACATCTATCTTAGCTAATCTATCACATACCTAACGGTTAACCATCTATCTTAGCTAATCTATAACATACCTTACGGTTAACATCTATCTTACCTAATCTATAACATACCTCACGGTTAACATCTATCTTAGCTAATCTATAACATACCTTACGGTTAACATCTATCTTACCTAATCTATCACATACCTCACGGTTAACATCTATCTTAGCTAATCTATCACAAACCTCACGGTTAACATCTATCATAGCTAATC